CACTCTCACACTCTCACACTCACTCACACACACACACACACACACACACACACACACACTCACTCACACACTCACAGACTCTCACACTCACACTAACACTCTCACACTCACCAGTCCCGGTGTGAGTGCTTGATCTGCCGTCTGATTCTCAAACACCGTCAGCTCATAAATCTCCTGAATGTCTGAGGAAGAAACACAAACTTCATATTAAAGGACCAGAAACACACTGACAGCCAAAAGACTGGAATAATTAAGATGATTTATTGTTTCTGAAAGAAGTCTCTTCTGCTCACCAAGGTTGCATTTATTTGATCAAAAATACAGTAAAAACTGTTAAATATTATTAGAATGTGAAACAGCTGTTTTCTATGTGAATATGTGTTAAACTGTAATGTATTTCTGTGATGCGCAGCTGTATTTTCAGCATCATTACTCCAGTCTAGCGTTTATTTGAAATAGAAATCTTTTGTAACTTTATAAATATTTTTACTGACACTTTTTATCAATTTAATGGTAATTTATCACAGTTTCCACAAAAATATTGTGCAGCAAATCAGCATATTAGACTGAGCTAATCAAAACAGTAAATCATCTTAATTATTCCAGAAATATTATTAACTGTAATTATTGCTTATTGTGATAATATTTCACTGTTTTTTTATCAAATAAATACCGCCTTGGTGAGCAGAAGATATCATTTCAAAAACATTAACAAATCTTAATTATTCTCGTCTTCAGCGTCTCGTCTGCCAGCAGCTAAACCTGACACTGACTGACAGCTCCATTCATCCTCAGGGACCAATCACACGCTGCTTACCTGCCAAGCCCCGCCTCCAGTGACCTCTCTAATCTGATGATGTCACTCGTGTAAATCTCCCAATGACAGATTAATCACTAAATATAGAGTTCACACTGCCACTCACTGCTGATTAGCTCTGTATGTGTGTGTGTCTGTGTGTGTGTGTGTGTGTGCGCGTTTTTGTGACAAATGAGGACATAAATTTGTATAATGACAAAGGTATGACAGGTATTACAAGGAGAAGGTGACTTTTCAGGACATTACCCCATGTCCCCACTTTTCAAAACGCTTATAAATCACACAGAATGGAGTGTATTGAAAATCTGAAATAGCACAAAGTTTCCTGTGAGGGGTAGGTTTAGGGGTAGGGTTGGTGTAGGGCAATAGAATATACGGTCTGTACAGTATAAAAACCATTACGCCTATGGGATGTCCCCACTTTTCACAAAAACAAACCTGTGTGTATGTGTGTGTGTGAGTGTGTGTGTGTGTGTGTGTGTGTGTGAGTGAGTGTGAGAGAGAGAGAGAGAGAGAGAGAGTGTGTGTGTGTGAGAGAGAAAGTGTGTGTGTGTGTGTGTGTGTGTGTACCTACGTAACCATAAACACATTTGTACCTAGAGGTGAGCTAAACCTGACAAAACCTCCCAAAATCTCCTTTTTAGGACATCTAATTTGTAAAATAATAATAATAATAATAATAATAAAGTCTTCATATTACCTGGAGCATCTTGCTGATTATTACCTGCAGTAAATGAGATCCGAGCTCAAGGTTTGTGTTTTCTAAAGATCGGCTTTGACCCCAAACCTCCCCCAAACCTACAGCAACACACAAACACAACATTATCATGAAGTCATATATATCACACACACACACACACACACACAC